ATATTATTTCTCTAATTTGAATAAATAATTAAAGAACAAGTTGCTGTCTATTATATTCACGTCACAGAATTTATTCCTTAATTTACCAAATAAAAATTTGAAAATGAATAAATTATTATAATGCAATTATAACAATATTAAAATATATCTGTTTGTACAACCAATCATATTCCTAGGATCTGCATGTGGTATATAATAATAATTATATTATATTTTATTTCAGGTGGTTAATAACTGGAACTACATCAAGAAGAGCTTACGAGATCTAGACCCACAAGGCATGGCATCTATACCAATTTCAGATTTCCAGGTATGGCTGAAAATACAATTGATCTTTTTCAGTAGTCCAAGTAGAAAAAAAGTATGAAGCTAGAAATTGAGTGGTTTGTATTCATTACTGAATATTCATCTTTGAACCTCTCCTTTGAAAAATTACTTGTGGTGGTGGGGGCTTCCTGTTAAAAAAAACAATTGATCGATGTTATTGAGACCCATTAACAATGAAGCTAGAAATTATTGTCATTGTTGACTTATTCATTACTGTATATCCGTATTATAAATCTTATTAAAAAAAACTGGGGTGGCTTCCTGTTGACTTCTTTACTACATTTAAAGACAAGAAATATAATGCAGGTGTATGGGCGGTATATATATCCTGCATCCATTATCAATCTAATGTCAGGTGGAGTTTAGTTGTAACTTGGTGAGTAAAATGCTTGGTTTAATTTTGATCTCTTTAAATCTAAGTTGAAGTGTTACTTTAGAAAATATTAAAGTTTAAAGTAAAAAGTGTTTCTAGGTGTTTTTGTTAGTGTTTGTTGGTGTTTTTGTAGTGTTTTGTATTATATTGAAGTTTGATATTGTTATATCTGTATTATTTTCTTTGTGGCTATTGCCACAATCTTACCAATCCTTGACTCTACCATCAAGATATTTTATTTGTAAATGTCCATGATGGGTTGGTGAGAAAATACATACATACACCACATATACAAATCAACTGCACTCTTTTTGATATATATTGAAACATCTACAGTATATGTAAGTGATTCATTATTATGTCAAAGTCGATGTATATTGAAGCAAAGTACCAGCACTGAAAATGACAATTCTGGTCCATCATCACGGTAATCGGAAACTGTTTGCGGTTGCCTGCGAAAAATAGTAGACTTATTGCAGGTTTAAACTTTCTAGGGCCAAAGTAATGAGTCATGTCGGTTCTGATAATTTTACTATGAATGAGAGGTCTTTTGGGTTATTTCACTTTCATGGAATATGGAATAGAATTAGGTTGATTGAAAACACATGTACCCCTTTTACACTGCCAAGGCAGAATAAACCTGTGTTAATTCTGGAGTGATCCCGGGTGCATTTCCCATTTACATCGAACGAAAAAGTCCGGATTGCTCCCGAGTTCCTCCCATTTTACACCGGCAATGAACTCGAGTTCAAATACCGCCCTCAATTTTTGTTGCGATGTTGATCATCACTTCGCTCATCGTGACGAAGCCGCAATTATTGTCAATATTGAAGGAATTTATATGCAGATTGTTTTTAAATTATGCGAATTAAATCAGCAGTTTTGATATCAAGTCTATACTGGAGCGCAGGGGGTTTAATTTGAAAAGTGTCTAGGCCGGCCTAGTCTGTTGCTAGTAAAGTTTTACCTACCTGACAACAGCTGCGGTAGGTGCCAGGTAAGGCCTAACTCCGGAATCAAAATTCGGTGCTGTTTACACTGGCGATTCTGGAATGCACACCCGGTTTGTCCAACACTGAATGCGAGATGTTTGGCAACCCGGGTTGTATTTTTTGATGTTTACGCCAACCACAACTCTGGAGTTTCTAGCCCGCGTATTGCAAAATCCCAGGTTGTGTCTGGTGTTTAGCTTGCAGTGTAAAAGGGGTACAAGATTCTTAGTAGGGAAATAAACTGACTGGTCAGTTTAGATCACTAACATACTTTTTCTAACCTGATCGTATGTCTTATTCAGGATATTTAGCTGAAGATGACTGATAAGCAATGGCTATTAATCCCTCTCTTCATACATTCAATCGAAACATAGAACAACAGTCATTTAGCACCAAAATTTATGTAAATTAAAATATTAATAGATGGAAATTAATGTTTTTCCCTCAAACAGAAAGAGATGGGACCCTTTGCCCACTGCAACAATAGAGACAAAACAATTATTGAATTAAAAAAAATCTACTCAACATAATTAGGGATTGGAATCTATTTTTCTTTCACTGAAATTACTTTATTAACTTATGTAGAATATAAAATGTCAATAACACTTCCGGTTTTTTTCTGAGGAGGGGTTATTGCTATAGAGCCAAAAGATTAGCTTTTGGTGTTAACCACTATGACCAGTCCGCTTCCTCGGAGAACTTGTGAACAACTGTCTCAGGTAGATTTTACATTACTAATGATGTAATTGTGTAGGTTTTTTTTTTTTTGACTGAGAGAGCACTTGGCCATGTATGTTGCCTGGTTTTTTTCACACGAAATCATCTAGATGCTGAACAGGAGTTAATGGGGACATATTTGATGTCTACCAAACTGATCAACAAATATTTTAATTATTAACCATCAAATAAAAACTATATCTACAATCAATGAATCTCTATGTTCCACCGCAATGTATTTTAGAATTCATTGAAAGATTTCATGGAAGTTGTAAACCAAACCAGAAACTGTTACGTTTAATAAGAACAATTTTTTTATACATCTTAATTACAGGCTTATTTATGATTTAATTCTATTATTATTATTATTATTTCTTATGATATGTTTGTTTATCGTATCCTGGGCACATAATCATAAGGATAACAGTTGGTTTCATCTGAGTTGTTAACCCAGGAAAAACAATGAATAAATAAATTAATAAATGTTATCATTATTATTATAATTATTCAGATGCAATAGTAATTCCATAATAGATCTAAAAGTTAATCAATAAGAACTATATTATAATATTCATATTGTTTCAGAATTGATTATGAGTTACCATATTTTATTTCTTGCAGAGTTTAGCCCGTTACCTAAAGTTTAATTTAACAAATGTTGAGCTTAATGAGCTTAGTCTTCGATTTGATTTTAATCACAATGGACAGTAAGTGGTTGATCTCATTTACAAACAAGCTTCCTTTTGACATTTAAAACTTAATATTATCAATTGATGTCAGTGAAACTGTATGTAATAAAAATATGGATTCCCATATGGTGTTCATATCAACATCATGAAATACTTAAGTGGGTATCTCACCTCCATACTTCATATTTACACATTGTACTTTTTAATGGAAGTGATGTGAGACTTTACATCCAATCACCAGATGGAAGGAAGAGGATGTTTCATTTATAACATGCATACTAGCAGGAATGCTTAAAATTTCGGCTGACCAGTTTTTAGGAGAAGCACTTTAAATCATTCTATGTCTCATTATTGTTGTGAACTGAGTTGTTGTAGCTGTTGCAGGGCATTATGGGATTTACTGATGAAGAATTGGGTTCCTATATTATTATTTTATCCTATTTATGCTAATTTATCGAACCATTAATTATGGCAAATTATTGTTTAAAAATGTATAAATGTAATGGAAAAATTTAGTATCCCTGACTAATACACAAATTGTAACTTTTTTTTTGTATTTAATAATTTGTATTACCATATAATAATCATTAGCCCTCATAATCATAAACACAAAAACAACTTCACAAGAACATTATTGAAATATTGTTTGAAGGTTTGCATGGCTAAATAACAATATATAAATGCTTGCGGTACACCACATAGATAGTTCTGAAAAGAACTGTTGTTTTGTTGAGAATGTCTCGATGTTTTGATTGGGTTGCCTCAATCGTCATCGAGAATAATATCTGCAGAGAGTCAAAACAGCGAAATACTTATGTATTTGGAAGGTGAGAACATTAATGGTTATCATAAATTTTTTAAGAGGGGTAAATAATTTATTTTGCTACTAACAACCATTTCTTCCTTGTTTCTATTCTAGGTTTCATTATTTACAATTTCTGCAACTTTTCTTAGAACAGCCTGTCATAAAAAAGCCCACCACAAAATATGATCAGTACACACATAGGCTGACTGCACAGGTAAGAAAAATGTTATATATACTTCGCAATAAAAATGCCTACCGTGATTACATGATTTGAGAGTGTGTGTATGTGTGGGAGTAAACATCAATTTTATGTAAAAAAAATGTATTTTTTAATAACACGTAATTGTAATAAAGTTATTTTTAATTGTAAATAAAATGTGAAGTCAAATTTAAAGATGTCATTATTGTCTGCTGATTCAAAACTTGACCAATCAGGATTACTATTTTTTTTTCTATTCTGCTGTCATACTTTCCCTTTGTGTCAAATAATATTGCCCTGGTTGGCATTTACAGTGTAAACTACAGTAATCTTGTTTTATCCACCTTGTAACTCACCTATTTCCTGTTTCTGTCACTGAGAAATGGAGACAGGAAGCAAAATTATTATTACTTGTGTTTTTCTCGGTTTCTCAGGTTAAAGACGCCAACACAACGGTCGCATCTGCCATGTTGAAACTCAGGAAGAAGGTAACATGTTTCCAATCAAAAAACTTTTGAAAGTCATGGTGTGGTTCCTATATGCTATGCCTCACAGGGCAGTAGAATTCACCCCAAAAGTATCACCCCTTATACAATATAGATTATATCTTTAAAAATTACATGTTTTGATTTTTGCTTAATTAAATATATTATGCTGTCTTTTGTGGATAGTAATAATAGCAAATATGTAGTAATGATATTTGCATTGTCGTCCTATTGTTGTTTATTATAGATTAAACAAATTTTTGTAATAGATGTTTTATAGTGCACAAACCAAAAAATATTTACTGAATAAACTTTGAGATCTGGTAAAGTCTGGAAAAAGTAAAATTCAAATCTTGGTTTATTTTTAGCTGCTTCAAAACTGGCAGAGTCTACGTAGGGCTTTTCGTAAAGCAGACATCAATAATGACGGCTACCTCAGTGTCCTGGAATTTAAGAATATTCTTAGCAGTATGGGAATCAACTTGCTGGATGAAGATTTCTACCACATTCTCAGCGAGTTTGATGAGAATTTGGATGGCAAGATATCATACAATGAGTTTATATACAAACTTATTGAATAAGGTCCCTGTTAATTTTTTTTTGTTACATGACAACATTTGGCAATAAATTTGGCAAGTCAATCACCAACATTTTGGAAATTTAGTATGAAAACAAAGATGAAGTTTAATCCTAATTTTGATTAAGATAAATTTCAAGTTTTTACATACAGATCCTGTACATATCGTACATATCGTCGCTCACATCACGAACTAACACAATTAAATTCAATTGTGTTAGTTCGTGAAATCAAAAAAGCGCGTCAAAATACGCGCTGTTGTCGTTAAGGACTTTTTGTGTGGTAAAGAATACAAAATTGCTTGACAACCAATACGCGCTCGTTTTGACGCGCTACAGTGATTTCACGAACTAACACAATCTACTTTGATTGTGTTAGTTCGTGATGTGAGCGATGATATAGAGCCTTAACTTTATATACATGCACAGGATCTGTATGTAAATTTCAGGATTCGTAACATAGAGGCTAAGTTAAACATATCTTGGACTTTCATTGATGATGCCATGTTTTCTAATTAATTCATGATTGATAATTCAGAAGAGATAAACAAATGTCAGTGAGGTGAGTATTTGGTAGAATGTGTTTTTTGAAACAACAGTGCTTGGGGAAGACAACTTGCGTATTATTTGAAATCAAGTTCACTGAATCATATAATTAGCAAAAGCATATATAAACGTGCAAAATGCACCCCCAAATTCAAGATATAGAAATTGGCATTAATGAAATATGTTGATGATAAGATTCATGGTGTGTACATAAAATTAAGTGCTTGTATAATCCATTAAATGGCACAATGACTGAGTGATTGTAAATATTAAAGTTATTCATACCTACATGTATCTTGGATAACCAAGTACTAGAGCTTCCTCAAATTTTTTTCACCAAGAAAAAATTTAACATTTCTGAAATCTTTACTTTTTATTAAGTTTGAAGAGAAACACCATTCTCCCCAAGATAATCATAAAGTAACATAATTCAAATTCAACTTTATTGCAATCAGTCATTTTGTGATGGGATGAAGCAGGCAATGTTAGTCATGTATATGTACAGTATTCAATTCAAGGGGTATTGAATATCTCACTGTGAATTTCATTTGAGTTCTTGGACCATGCATTTTTCTTTCTACCCATGTGTGTTCCTGGTGGACTCAAATACTCCAAAAAAGTGCCGAGGGGAATAATGTGAATTTCAAATGGCATTTCCATTTCTCGGACCCTCACACATGTTGAAAATGTGTAAAGTGTTCAGGGACCATTATACTATAGGTAGGCAGTGATAGATTTGTTCCAATGTTTTTACAATCCTGCCACTAAACAGTCATATGTTGTCATAATTTGTTTTGAGTCATTTTGCAGCAATTAATTTTGTTAAGCATTTGCAAATGAAAGATGAATTCCCTTATTTGTATTTTACGAGATGGACAATAAAGTTATCTATCTATAGATCTATGTGTCGGATGGAGGGAATCAATTTTATTTAATTATTTTGTAGAGCCATTATATAAAAATACCAGATATAAATATGTATACTTCAAATTAAATTTAATCTAATGCGCTCCCTTAGGAATTTTCACATTTGATAATATCTTTATAATTTATGATATCGCTAAATATGGTTGAGATGTTGAAATATTTATCATTAAAGTTATCCAACAATAAACCTGATATAAATCAATGTTCTACATATCCATTTATTATCCTTGCATCAATTCCTCTCGAATCGCGCAATATATCAAATTTAAAGATATTCTTAATACTGCCACGTAAGTGTCATGAAATTGATAATTGAAAAAAAAATGAATTGCTTATGTCGTATATTTGAATAAATTATTATCTTTGAAAAAAAAAAATTGAACAGAACCAACTTTCCTCACTAATTGACATGACGTACAAATAATAGTTGTTATATTCTTTGCATACACTCTTAAAATTTTGCTGGATTTGATAATTTTTGTAATAAATGATGTGTGACATATGAAACGTGAGCAAGTTATACATTTTAAAAGTTTTTTGCTCTATTTACATTTAGATGACAGTTTATTTTTAAGTTAACTGTACAGCAACATTTTTTTTTGGTGTGATGTTGGTATGTGTCAAATTTAAACAGAAGACCAGTAGTTAAAGCACTGCTGTCTTCAGCTGATCTGTTAAATCCTCGGTATTCTGGCATTCCAATATTTTGGAATGTTACTCATCTCCAAATCTATAAGGATATCAGCTGTAAAATAAGATTAATGCTGAAATGCCTGTCAGCCGCTTGTGCTTTCATAAATGTGAGCTACAACATTCAGTACATGTAGAAGCAACTAATGGACCAATTTAGAGTATCTGAATGAGATTTTTAAATTTCAATCAATATCATTTTGGACAAGGAAGCAATAATACATGGACAACAATAATAGTTCCTAAACCTTGAGAATAAATTCTTCAATTATATAGTGCATATATTAATGATGTGTCTATATATGGTAATGCTGTGATGTCATCATGACTATATTTAGGCATGTCACATGTTTTTGTCATATACAATTTGATAGTTTGGACAGCGCTTAAATGACTGCAAACTCTTTTCTTGTGACTACCCCCTCTTACTCCCCCCCCCCTCCACACAAAAAAGTACAAAGTGATGACCTTTTGGGATCATCATTTTCACATTTTCATGCTGTTAAACCCTTCTGCTACCATTTTATTTTTACTCATGAAAGTGGTGCAAAATATGTATGACCCTTTAAATATAATGATTGTATTATTTTTAAACTTTATTTTGAAAGGATATTATCCTGCTGAATATAAAGACAATCTTTAAGTTGTTTTGGTGTCCTGTCTAATGTAAATATGTGGGGGTGTGTATTTGTGTGATAATGTATAAAGTATATTCAACCTGTAAAAGTCTTGAAAATTTATTTTGTAATGGGATATCTTATTATATATTTTAAAACCTCTCAAAATGAAATTTAAGAACATTGAAAATCATAGAATGTGCTTTTTTGTTGAAACAATGTTTTTGAATTCTCAGAGGAAACCAGTTTCAGGAACCTCTATTTCACAGATAAAATGTGTTGCTTATAAACCTGACAGGCATTGCATCTTCTTTAATAAGAATAATATGATTTTATAGCATTGTCTAGAGAATTTATTTTAAGTTTAATTGAAGTTTGGTTTTCCAAGGGAATTCACTATTCATGTATGTGTCAATCTTTGAATATTTGCCAAAACTGCGGCATTGTACATGATTGTATGATCTTGCATTTATGATGTAGCTGGGGGTGGATGCTGACATATTAATATTGGGATGTATATACTGTATATAATATGTATATCCAACAAAATGCTGTATGTTTGATGTGCAATTGTTGAACTACTGTAGAATTATGGCATCATTCTTAATATTTACATTCCAAAAAAATTTAGAATTTTAGCTTTAATAAAATTGGCCACATTCTTTATACTGTTTTTGTCATTCATTTTTTGAGTTACTATTCTGTATTATGAAGATTCACAACAGTACTTTTATTACACTGGTCAACATGGTGGATAGCACTCAAGACTCACTTGGGGTCATGGACCTACGCATTTTTTAGAAGACAGTTATTCATTTATTACATTACAATTTATTTCCTATTTTCACTAATGCAGTCTGTAGGTGGTTCCCCATACTGGAACACTCTGTCACTCTGGCCATACTACCAAGATGGCCTTTCACGCTGTCATGCATACTGCAAGTGCTGATGACAGATAGGATAGGCCGACAATCCAACATGGTTGCATCAACCTGGCTCCAAGTCACCACTATAAACATGGTTCAAATACAAGTTTAAAAATTGCAGATCTCTGGCAATTTTGAACTGTTGTGTTCTGTTCCAATGAGCAGCTATTTTTGCTATACCTGACAGGCAAATTACTCTGCATTAGCATTTTTCGCAAGGTATACACAGTTCTTTGTCCCCTACCCCTTTATTTGTTTTACAATAACAGGAAAATGTTATATTTAATATAGACGCACACCTTTTCTATTGTCATAGCTGTATTATGATTTCTTGTGTTCTGTTTAAGGTAGTTTTTTAAATAAGAAGTGTGAGATTTTTATGTATTGTTGATGCCAGTGGAAGGCTAATAGAGAAATAAAGTATCAGTGTATCTTCCTGCACATTCGAGCCACACTAGCCAAATCTTATCTGTGAGGAGCTTAAGGGGCTGCCTCTAGCTCTAATGACTTGCAGGGGATTTTATAAGCTGCTTCCTTGTCTGGCCTCATAAAATAACCTGCAAATTCTAGCTAGTTTTCAGCAGGACTCGGCCTTCTAAAAGTGTCATAGATGCAAAACTGTGTAGTGTGGATGCTCCATCTGTACCTTTCATGGCTCCCCTCCCCTCCCTCTATTTTAACATGAATATTTCACTACTTTAGCCCTAATGGTGGGGCGGAGTTGGATGCGAACCTTTGTCACCTCATTTCATCGGGGAAAGGAATCTCTGCCACCACTTTTGAATTCCTATTGCTCAAGTAAAAAATATAAACACCACCCATATACATATAGACCACCCATATACATATATACAGTATATAATGTAATAAAAAAAAAATGTATTGAAAAATTATAAAACATGAAAAATACAGTAGTTGCAATAATTAGAATAAACACAATATAACTATTTAATTGAGATCAATTACTAGAGGATATTAACTTAATTTAGTAGGAAACTCAACACCTACATGAACCCCCACCTAAGGACCAAAACCAGCTTTGATTATACTAAATTAGAGGCTCTTAAGGGACTACATTCAATTAAGAAAACATATTAACCTTTGATACAAAATATACTGCACAGTATGTTTCTTAGCTTTTGTATTTTGCTGTTTTTTATATGTTTATACCTGAATAAATAAATAAAAAATATATATAAAAACAAAATCAGTGAACAAAATTGGACAACACTTTAACTTGCCACAATCCTGTAGACGATTTGGAAATTTTTAGGAGGGATTACGTTAAAAGCCAAGTTAAGCATTAGTTTGCGGTACAGTAAGTATTGAAGCAAGCGCAAGTGTAATACATGGATCTAATTGTACTTGTGTATTGGCTGACTTTACCAAAAGGCCTGTCCAATTTCAACAATAAAACTTGCAAGTAAATCACACATGCATTCCATCTACCATATGGAAATGCATGTCCACCTGAATACACAAATATGCAAATTAGTTTTTCCTGCCTATTGATGGATTTGTATGAGTAATGTTAATAATGCATGAAAGTGACTAGTGTAGTACAAGTGTGGTGTGATCAACGGTGTTCTGCATTTTAGTGAAAGAGATCAAAACTTGTTTCACAAATTTTCACTTTTAATAGATAGTAAGATTTGAATTTAGACTTGAGTATAAGGAACAATTGATTACTTGATTTATTGCTACCTGCCATTAACAAATAAGACTTGCATATACTGTACATATCCTCAAAACAATATACAATAGCCCGTATTTATTGAAAACATTTCAACACAGTAAATTCTTGGTATAACTAACTCTATAAAGAAATGGATAAAAGATAAAAATTATTTACAATTGTCATGTAAATCCCTGGTTCTCAACAATCTATGGTCCAAAAATGAATTGCAAATTCTAAACCTTGGCTGTGAAATTGAAAAAATTGTTTAAATTGCTGTGTGAATTGTTTGATTCTATCAAATCAATCAACCCAAAATTAGTCACTTAATTTTCCAAAGTTCCCCAAACAAATGATAGGCCTATGCACGCATTCCCTGTGGTATAGGCCTATGCACGCATTGCCTGTGGTATAGGCCTATGCACACATTCCCTGTGGTATAGGCCTATGCACGCATTGCCTGTGGTATAGGCCTATGCACGCATTCCCTGTGGTATAGGCCTATGCACGCATTCCCTGTGGTATAGGCCTATGCACGCATTCTCTGTGGTTTTTCTCAGCTGAGAACAAAATGCATGCTCACTGCTATTGAAAGCTGATACAAATGTTTTGAAGTTTAATGAATATCAACAATGCTGTATATGGATTCAAATTGAAAACAAAAGGCATGACAGAGTATTTTTATTCATCAACCTGTATTACACAGAAAATGTATTCATAAAAAACTTGTACATTATAGTCAAAAGCATAAATCCCATATAAGCATTATTTTTTTTTTTTTTTTACTTTTGGGGATGTGGCTAGAATTAAAATATTTTTGATGATTAAATTGAACTCCTGAATGTCAAATTAAGAGTGCAGCCTTAAGTTTTCTTTTAAGTGCCAAATCCATCACACAACTAAGGAGAACTGGCATTTTGAGTGACTTAAAAATGGATTTAAATTTGAAAAAGTTGAGAACCAGACATTTAAATTATAACCGACATGATCACTGATATGACTAGGACTAACCCTGGATGGCTGACATGACTATGAACTGCCCTTGCTTACTGATCCCTACAGTCCATGGTACCATCAACCTGATAGCTGACATAACTTGGGTCAGCTGTAAGATTTGCATTGTAGCAAAGATTATACACAATCCTAACACTGAAACTTTTATATATTCCAAAAACACCATAGCAAGATAATTATACAACTGTACAAAAGAATATTGTAGAACAGAGAAAGTAAATTAAACATAGCAAGAAAATGTAACATACAGCAAAGAATACCACAAGAGAATTAAATGTGTTAATTCACAGCAAAAGAACGCAACAGAGCAGTAAAAGCACTGGTAACAGTTTTACCATAGCAAATAGTAGCAAAATACCATACCATAGTACCAGATGGTTCAACAGAACAGTATATAGTTAAGCAGAGAATACAATAGTTTACCATACCAAACAATGCATGTCTATAGTTGGTCAAAGAATACAATAGTAGTACAATTGACCAAAAAACTATAAAACTGTCTTAAGATTAATCTTGGTTTAAAAGCTTTTACTTACTTAGAACACAGTACTGGTGAGCGACGGATCCAGGATGTTTTTGCTGGAGGTTGTGTGGCTCCATTGTCTGGGGAGGGGGGAGAGGAGGGTGGAGATTGAAGGTGTTCGCTTGTTCTCTCTTATCTATTGTGGGAATACATGGTACATGATCCCCGGAAACTAGCTATTTTGGTTTCCATACAATCGCTACACGCTATCACCGATAGATATCAGTGATGCTGATATGTTGGTCGAATCGGAGGTCCTTCCCGATTGCGTTGGGGTCTGCTACGCAATACGACGATTGCACTGAAAACACTGCAGCGACAGTGTAGCAATCTTAAGGAAACCAGGCTTCAACAAAACGATTTCATACTTGGTTAGAGAATATGTTTGGCTGATGCTGGGGTGGGGTGGGGTGGGGGAGTGGAGCAGAGTGCACCCCTTGCACACCCTGGATCTGGCGCAGGATAAATACTGTACTATAATAAAAATGTGTTGATCATTTAAATATCCTTAAACAATAGGAAAATAAATTTGCATTGAGAGTCTCTGCTAAATGAAACATATATAACTCACCCAAGTAGGGAATAGTAATATCATAAATTCTAATACAAAATTTTTTACTTGAATATAGTCATTATTTTCAGTAAACATAATAATACATTGACCAATCACTAATTGTGGGAAATAAACCCATCTAAAAAAAAACAAAGAAACATATTTGTGCTATATAAACATTTACTGCTACAAATCTCTTGAATATGTGAGATAAAGTATAAACATTCAAGATTTAAATTTGAAAAAAAAAAGTTACAACCCATATCATACAATAGCAATATATATGAATATGTTTGTTCTTTCCACAATGTTAACATTCAAATTTGCATATAGTATATATGTATTGGAAATAACTAAAAAAATTGAATTGAATAATTGTTGAATACATGAATTTACAAATGATGTAAAAAGACTAAAAGGATCTACCTTCTGTTCAATATTTTACCCTGTTCATCAGCTGTACTTTGTGTTTTAATGGTACAGTCACTGTATATATATATATATATAAAGCCTTAATAGAGAACATACGAGCACCAAATATTACTAAACACGTTTTATACATACTTATTCAAAGTAGAGATAAATTGGACAGGTTGATTTGTGGCCAATTACAAAATAAATGTTCAAATCTTCTATAATTTTAAAGAAATGAAACACTTTTAAAAAGGTTAATTAATATCAACAAACAAGTAATCTTTATTTTCCTTCTGAAAGGAAAATTAAATGGCAGAAAATTAACTGACGTAAATGAGTACATCTACGTAAGACAAATAAGTCTTAACAAGTCTTTTAATAAGATTTTTTTCAAGACAAATAAGTTCAAAGTTTGTTAAAAGTTACAATATTTACCATATAAAAGTATAAACTACAATTGGATTTCATAGCACATACTAACTGTGTAGTTTTTGTTGGGATGGTGAAAAGGAGGAACCTTAGTTTACTACCAATCTGAAAAATATTAAATTCTCAGACTCTTAAAAATTGTCTACCCGGCCTGGTTTTCAGAATCATGTGCAAATCGCTTTTTTTCTTGGTATTAGCATTGTTGATTTATTAAGGACAATCATAATCGATTTACATTTATACTGAATAACGATTTATGGGTATATGTTACACCATCATTGAATAGTATTATGTTTTACAGTATGTAACTGTATTGTTTATTTGCAATATATATGTAGATATTTTCCTGAATATTACCACAATGAAACCTGCTCTCTTCTGTTCATACTACAGACATATATTAACCTAAAAGGTTATTATTCTCACGATGAAGATTACTGTGGTTTGAGATTTTACTGCTTCTTCAACACATCTTTCATTTGGGTTTTGGTCTTTAAAGTGTGGTGTCGGTGTTCCCGTTATCAGATCTCACTGCATCCATCCCGTCAGTTGCGCTAGGTTTGGTTAAGCCGTCCAACTCATTTGAATCTCCTTCTTCCATCTTGTGATGTTCGGCCTCAATCAATTCCTTTTTCGCAAGATGATCAACAATAGCAGCACCGAAGGAGTCTCCTAATACATTGATGGATGTACGACAGCGATCACTGAGGATTAAGTGTCAGAGGTTACTCATTAATATTCATAGTGTTAAATGAAAATGTATGTTTCATCAATGTTGAAATATTTTCTGCACAATTTTTAGAAATTAATTCTACAAAGAAAAAAAATATCAATATAAATGTTTTAATAGTAATAGGAACCATATTATTATGTTTTATGTTTATGTTCTATATTTTCCTTTCAGAATAACAGCAGTTTAGCTCAATCGGTTAAAGTAGTGGTAGCCACTTGCATGCACTGAACCGTGGGAATATCTAGGTTCCGGGTTCAATTCCCATCGCTGCTCTCCTTGTGTTTCAGCTGGAGGGCTGGAATACAAGTTACGATAGTGCGCTGTCTTTCAGATAAGACGTTCAAGCCGTTGGTCCTGTGTGCAATATGGCTCACGTGCACGTTAAAGAACGCAGTACATTCTTCGTGAAGGAGCAGGGGATTGTCTCCCAGTGTACTGCCCAATTCACCACCAGAAGGATCCCACTGGAAATAAGTATTTGGACTTAGTGGGTTTCCTTGGTGTGATTCACACTGAAATACTCCTATCCTATCCTAGTCTCAGACATTTGATATGTACATTCTATTTTGTATTACTGCAGTAGAGGCTTTCTGATTCATCACAAAAATTATAACAAACATTTTGAGTTTCATTTCTTTTATTTTCGATGATCAAACATTAAAGAAACAATTTATTTACTATGATGTTTTTGATCAAATATGGGCCAAAACTAATGAATATATTCATTAGATGTAAATTATTTTTTTAAAAATTATGATGATGACGACTTTAATTCAAAAGTTAATATTAAAAATAA